GGGCGGCAAGCCACTCCCACAAAGGAGGCCACAACCATAGAGTAGGTTCGAACAATTTTTGAAACCCACCACTGCTCTGTTCATCTTACTCCCTGCTACGCACTCTCAATCCATTTGCAAATATTACTTTATAACTCATACTACTATCACTTTCTCAGTGTAGGTAAAAATAGCAATCTTTTTAAACAATATATTTAATAAACATTGAAAACAATACTCCAACGAAGATGGGCCTGGAAGAGTGTTGTGGCTCGTCAGCTGCCAGCAGAGCTAGCTGCAGAGTCAGACAAGGCGCAGGAGGAAGGAGAGCCTGGGCCAGCTTGGGAGCCTTTGGAAGGCTCTGATAAGGGAACAGCATCAGAGACAGCGGCAGGGCCTTGTGTCCTCCCATAGGTGGAGAGGCAATTGTCTTTGGGGCCTGAGCTGAGCGAGGGGGAGGAACAGGCGTGGCCCATTCCAGATGAGTGTATGTGCAGAGAGGAAAAGAGAGAACAGCAAAGGAAAGCAGTAAACCGGCTCTCAAGGAAAAGTCAATGTGGGCATTAGCCAGCCCCTCCCTGGCTGGGAAATAAATAGTAGGGGGTGGGGAGTGGCCAATCGACCCATTTGCTTTTAGGATACAGAAAGCAATTCAGATTTCTTGGCCAGGTCTTTTGGGGCTAATTACATTTTTGTTTATCCATGTGAATAAAAGACTGTTCCTACCCTATTTGAAAAGGGGTTTGTTTTAATCGCAAGAAAGCTGCTTACATTACTTGCTAAGGCTGGGTCAAAACGCTGACACAGTATTATTACAAAGCCCTAATTAATATCCCCCTCCTCTCCCCCACATCTGGGACTGTTGGAACATTTTTCTATCCAATGTACTGCTTATCCCTAGAGACAGTTACTTTGCTAACTATACAGGATACCTTTTAACTGAGGTGATCTCTAATTTGTGAAAACGAATTAAAGACGGTTCCACCACAAAACCGCGGTCGTCTAAAGCGCGCTCGACGAAACCGCGTACCCGACGTCATCACAGCGCGACGAAAAAAGCACGCTGTGAGCGGTAAAGCTAAAATTAACACGTAAAACTAAACCTAACCCCCCCAAACCTAACCCTTAACCTAACCCTAATTACGTGAATCGGCTTGCTTTAAGAGCGCGTTTTAAAGCGCCCTTTTTTCTCCGCGGTCGTCGTTGTCGCGCTGCTGATGACATCAGCGACACGTTTTAATCGGGTGCGCTTTAGTGGACCGCGGTTTTGTCGTGCCACGTTAAAGACAACATTAAAGTACTCACTCACACAAAATCTCCTACTTTGTAGCTTTTGCATACAGAATACTAATAGCCTATGGGTGAAACATCCCAGACTTTATAGATTTAAAACATCTACAGTGTTATAGATGTATCACCTTTGTATTAAGTAATTTCTATCAATGTTTGCTTCTTCATAAACTATGCTTTAAGACAGGTTAATATGGAGTACCACAAGGACGGAAAGAGTGGGGAAAAAAGATGTAAAGTGGTTTTCACTGTATTGTTTATGGCTTCTGTACAAACTTCAAAAACGGGTTGAAAGATTAGAATTGGACTGAGTACAAGCACATCACTTTTCGCCATTAAAGCAGACAATTGTATTGTACAATTTGTCAGGGACCCTCATAAATCATTAAAAGAACATGTAAAGCAAGAGGATCAGGTTCGCATGCCTGTTTTAATAAACAGCAGAGAGGTGCAGGCACTCATTTTAAAAAATCATTTGTAATATGTGAATATGTACATCTAATTCAACTGAAATTTGGTTACCTGTGTGAAGGGGATGGCGCTTCAAACTGGGGCACAGTGCTGTCTTCGCTGACTGGTGAATACAAGCCACTCATTTCCTGGAATAAATATAGAGCCACACAACAAATAAATAATTTGATATTTATATCCTTTTGACAATTTTATATTTTTATCAAAGTATTTATTACTCGTCATCAAGTCAATTTTACCCCTAGTGACCACACAGATAGATTCTCTCTATGATAAACTTCTAATGGTATGCCACTCACCATTATACCCTCCACCTGGCTATTCTTTTTCCTTCCACCTTTACCAGCTTTAAAGCTTTTTCCAGATGTCTTTGCCTGAAATCTCTAAAATCAAAACATTACACTCATTTTTATTGCAGCTATTTTTTCCCCCAAAGGTGCTTTTTCAAGGGGCAACTGGACTTTGTTTTTCTTTGAAGACGTCTCGGTTCTCATCCAAGAAGCTTCTTCAGCTCTGACTGGATGGTGGGGAATGGAAGGATTTATATTCCTTGCAGGCAGCTGGTCATTTGCATTCTTTTAGTGTTGTTGAGGCCACTTAAGAGTTTTATCTGTTTCTTGGGATCACCTGAGTAGTGCAAATGGATGTGGAGCCTTCTTGGGTGGCAGGATGTTTTCTGCTAGATATTCTGTTCTGACCCCGCCATATCCTACACCAAAGCACGCCGAGACAAAGATACTTCAAGGATTCATTAACACAGACTAGCTCTTGGCAGCAATCCAGCACAGACCAATCCTTGGCAGCAATCCAGCACAGACCAGACGTTGGCAGCAATCCAGCACAGACTAACCTTGGCANGGGGGCAATATGCTGACTCTGTAAACCGCTTAGAGAGGGCTGAAAGCCCTAGGAAGCGGTATATAAGTCTAACTGCTATTGCTATTGCTAAGTTTCACCAGTCGTAAGTTATAACTGTACAAAAGGCATTTATGCTAACATTTTAAAGCTTTCAAATAATCCATTAGACTACAAATAGTTCTCAATTGATTATTAATACAGGGGAGTCAAACTCATGTCATCGTGGCAGCATCACGTGACATATCGGGACTTTTCCTCTCTTCATTAAAACGGACATGGGTGTGGCCAGTGCATGACACATCGTGGCCGCGAGTTTGACAGCCCTGATTTAATGCATTCATTTTACAACCACTGCTGAGTCCCCACGGTTATATAATCAAAATTCAAACTGGCATGTATTTACAACTGCAGTGTCTCGGGGTCATTGGAATGGCATTAGCAATCTTCCCAGAGGCCTTCCAACAAGCAAAGTCAGTGGGGAGAGTTGGATTTGTTTAATGACATGATTCACTTAATGACCACGATTCATTTAATGATAACAATAACTGTAATCAAATACGACATGACTTATTTAGCCACTGTATCACTTAACAACAGATGTTCAAGTCCCAATTGTGGTCATAAGTTTAGAACTAGTCCTCGACACATGACCACAATTGGGACTGGAATTTCAGTTGCTAAGCAATGCAGTTTTAAGCAAGTCATAACATTCCGGACTTGATTTCACAGCCATTTTTACTGGAGTGGTTGTGAATCATATGGTTGCTAAGTGAATCACATGGTTGTTAAGTTTCTCCAATTGACTTTGCTTGCCAGAAGCCAGCTGGAAAGGTTGCAAATTATAATCATGTGACCGCAAGATGCTGCCACCATAAATATGAGCCAGATGTCAAGCACCCAAATTGCAATTACTTGAGGCTTTATAATTGACAGAATTGTGGATGTATGGTAAACTCATAAAAAGTTAATTCTCCACCTTTACACTTGCCATCAAGCATGATGCAATCATTTTGATACCTATTAAAATAAAAACCTGCTTGTTGCAATGATTATCGGGAGCTTTTACCTCTACTCGTTTAATATCTTCTTCCAAAACACTCAGCTCCTTCTGGATTTGCTCTAACTGCTGTAGATTAAAAGAAAGATTTTAAAAATATAAGTTAAACTGGCAGGGCTCTCATAAATTACTTGCGACAGAAAAAGAGGTTGTGGGCACAATAAATGGTAAAAGAACCAAATGCAGCAATGTATTTTTAGGTATGCATTCTACTAGCAGACAGAGCAACATCGAAATGATGAAATATTATCAAACATTATGTTCTTTACCATCAGTTACAAGCACGGTCAATGTTAATAAATAAAATTTGCTTAACAGCCATTTAAAAATAACAACAAGTAATGCGGCAGTCCTTCGGATTTGAAGACTATGTATTGTTGTAGAGCCGAGGTGGCGCAGTGGTTAAATGCAGCACTGCAGGCTACTGCTAGATCAGCAGTTCAGCGGTTCAAATCTCACCGGCTCAGGGTTGNGTCCAGGGTCCTCCATATCCTCCAGAGCCGACTCATAGGGCCCCTCGCTGTCGGAGTCTGGTGGCAGCTCCAACGGCTCCTGCTGGGCCACAACATATTCATTCACTGTTGAACAGAGGCGCAGGTGGTTGGGGATGAGTCTGTGTGGTCTGTGACCCAGAGAACACAGATAGATCTCCAAATGGCTTCAGGAACTCTGTAGGAGGCGGCAAATGACCAGCTGTCTGCAAGGAATATAATTTTTTCCATTCCCACCATCCAATCAGAGTTCAAGAAGCTTCTTGGGTGAGAAATGTCTTCAAAGAAAAACAAGAAAGTCCAGTTGCCTCTTGAAAAAACATCTTTTGGGGCAATTGTGACCTGGATGACTGAGAATCTCCGTAGACATTTAGCTATTTTCTCCTTTTATATTTAACAGAGCAATATTTAAAATTACTGTGCTTCCTTCAGAATTTACTGAAAAGGAGGCTGGAAAAGCTCCCATTTGAGTTGTTTAAAACCAATAAAATAAGCCACATTGGCTATTACCATTTCAAATTGCAGAAATGTTAATCCATGAATGTATTTATAATTTATGTTAATGCAAAAATTATAGTTAAATGTTATCAGAAAATAAATAGGTTTGCTTAGTTTGCTGAAATTTATATGGTTAGGGCTAGGCCTAACTGAATGAACACTTAGCACTCTTACATTGGAAGAGTAACAAACTGAATTCACACCAATGACACGATTTCCTCCTTTGCTGTACATCTCAGTATCTTTCAAATAACTCTAAAACAGGGGTGTCAAACTCGCGATGACGCATTGTCACATGACGTATCACAACTTTCCCCCCCTTCGCTAAAACAGGGGTTGGCATGGCTAGCCGTGACGCATCTGGCCCGCGGGCTGAGAGACACCCGTTCTAAAACTATCCAATACACAAGTCCAGTTTTCAGCCCAATGGAAGATTACAGATGGAAGAGCTCATTCTGCTACTGAGTTTCAAGTTTAATAAAATTTGTATGCCGCCCACTCCCATTGGGACTCTGGGCGGCTACTGAACCACACTATTGTCATCAAAGAAGAATTTCTGAATAAAACCTGAATTAGAATTATTGCTCTTATTTTTATCACTTTTTCCAAAGAAGGTAAAATACCACACAAACTTAGGAAAGCTTAATTAGATACGTTACATCTCTCTCACTGGAAAAAAAGTGTTCCTTGGTTAATTTATGTTTAATGTGTGCTTATAATTATAAATTTTTTGTGATGTAATTTTATACGGCTGTGTTTTGTATGTAGATATCCATACCATGTGTGCAAGACCGATCACAAAGGTCTTTCCAACTAAGACCCTATGACCTTTTGATGTTTCAATCATATGGGGTCATGCAATGTTGATAGAGTATCATACCACTGCGGGTGCATAGAGAAGAATGAGGTTGCATACAGGTACTCCTCAACTTACAACTGTTAATGGAGCCTGCCCATCACAGTCCCAAGTTGTGACGGTTGTAAAACCAGTCAGTCATGTGACCAACCCGAGCTTACCAACCTTTTCGTGATGGTTGTTAAATGAACCAATGGCTTGCTATGTTTTTGCCAAAACCTGAAAGTGCCAGGAAAAACATTGTAAAACATGATCACACAACTGTGATAAACCGAAAATGGATGCAAATGCAGCCATTTTGCTAAGCTCATGAAGTTTAGTCATGTGGCTGCAGAGGTGGGGGAAACCATAGGAACTTTGCATCTGGATTGTAAGTAGTCCAAAGGTGGGTCTGCCGTAAGTTTGAGCCGAGGTGGCGCAGTGGTTAAATGCAGCACTGCAGGCTACTTCAGTTGACTGCAGTTCTGCTGTTCAAATCTCACCGGCTCAAGGTTGACTCAACCTTCCATCCTTCCGAGGTGGGTAAAATGAGGACCCGGATGGTTGTTGGGGGCAATATGCTGACTCTGTAAACCGCTTAGAGAGGGCTGAAAGCCNAAAGCCAACTTTTTAGGGCGCGTCGGAAGGACCGGAGGTCAGGGATTATACGAAGCTCCGGGGGCAGCTCATTTCAATAGGTTGTCCAGTGGTTTGAAGAGGAATGTCCCAGGATGTGAACTGTAGAAGAATTGAATTATACTGTAGTGGAAATCTAACTATATGGAAGAAGACTGAGATGTGACACTGGTCTCCGGGATAATACATATAAACGTAGTCCTCGACTTACAACAGTACATTTAGTGACCGTTCAAAGTTACAACAGCAATGAAAAAAGTGACTTATGGCCATTTTTCACAGTTATGATCTTTGCAGCTTCTGACAAGCAAAGTCAATGGGGAAGCCCTATTCATTTAACAGCCAGGTTAACAACTCAATCAAATGCAACGATTCCCTTAACAACTGTGGCAAGAAAGGTCATAAAATGGGGTAAAACCCACTTAGCATACGTCTCCCTTAACAACAAAAATTTGGGGCTCAATTATGATCGTAAGTCAAGTACCACCTGTCACACTTATAAAGAAGAGCTTCAAAGTTCCAGAAAAAAAATATAACCTTGAGATTTATACAGAAAAAAAATAGAAGGGGAACAGCAAGGGAAAAAAAAAAACCATGGTTCAGGATCCAATCTGGGTCTATCATTGGGACCAGAGAGGTTTTGTCTTCTGAGCTTTCGGACTTGTGCTGGAACCCATCCTCAGGGAACTTCTCTCTCACCAGGATGTGTCGCTTAGAGATAAGAAACATCATTTTGAAGTAAACAATATTAGGAATATAGGAAAGGTATGAATCAAACAATAATAATGGCTGCAGACGTCTACTATCCTGCCCTCTCCTGTCCTGTCCTGTCCTGTCCTAGCCCAACCATAGCAAATTACTATGCAGAACAGAAGGATGATGTTGGAGGCACGATAAACCACTTTATTCAGAAGCTAATAGGCATTCTACCTGATAGACGGGTCATCCTGGTAGAAAAGTAGCATTGTTCCAAATCTTCAAAATGAGCTGTAAGTCTTTTCCTCCTTGAAGCCAAGGTACTATTATACCACGGCTGTTTCTTAGTCTGAATGAAGGAAAAATAAAAAATTACGTTCATAAATCAAACTCAGTCCAACTATTGTTAATATACTCATCACTTTATAAATTGTACTTAAGACATTTCCAATAGATATTTATCTCATTTTTAAAGTTATGTAATGCACAGATGAAGGGAGAAGTTCAACAGATTTACAGTTACATATCTTAAGTTTCAAAAAACAATCACAAAATCAAATGCCACAGTACTAAATGCACCCTCTCTTAAGTTATTCTCACACCAATATGGTTTGGACACTACAAACTAAAAAAAAATGCTGAACCTAGATCTTCTGGAAGGTTACAAAAGAGGCAGATTATGAAAATAAACATTAGCACCACCAATGTATCTTGTTCCAAATATTTAAAATATGTTGTCAGGGGAAATATTCCCATACAACCCAATACATAATATATAAAATGGGTAACCCAATGTGATAATTAAACAACCAAGTTACCTGCTTCTATCCCATGTAGAGCTATAAAGAAGGTAACTGGGCCCTTTATTAGTGGTCCATTCATAACACCAGGGAATCTACCCTGTTTCCTTGAAAATAAGACCTCCCTAGATAATAAATCTAATCAGGCTTTTGAGTGCATGCGCTAAAATGAGCCCTCCCCCAAAAATAAGTCGTCCCCAAAATATTACAACAAAGCAGCAGCCATGAGGTGACCACGCTCGCCACCTCCTGCACCTCAAAATAATAAGACCTCCCCAAAAATAAGACCAAGTGCTTATTTCAGGGGTCAAAAGAAAATAAGACCCTGTCTTATTTTTGGGGAAACACAGCATTGGGAGTTAATACACTGCAGAATTGTAGTGCCACGTGGGCATAACAAATAACACCTATAAACTATCTAAACCACAGCATTTTGCCAAAAGGAAACCTCTGGATGGTTTTCAAGGACAGTTGCAGGTATACCATATTGCAAAAGGCCAACTGGGAGATGAATAAATCACAACTGATGAGCAAATCTCCTGATCCAGTAATCGGGACCCCCCTGACCAGAGCTGTCATCGCCCTTTAAGCAGTGAATCGAGAAGGACCCTCAGATAAGTCTGAACAAGGCAATGCCAGAACCCTATTCAAAACCAGACATAGAAAAACACCGGATTCCTTGGTGAAATGGGCAGACATATAAATCAAATTCAATGATTAAATGAATATATTCCTTTATAAGCAAACCAAAGATAATCTGGCAGACTGGCAGCCCTTTCCAGCAAGAAGTATCATGTTGGTTTTATTGTTGAATAAGAGATTATCGTATTTTTCGGAGTATAAGACACACCAAGATTTTGAAGACCTCCCAAAAACGGGCCGTTTTTTTGTCAGAAAAGGGCATGCATAGCCTCTAGGAGGTTTGTACAGTGCTCCTGGGGGCTGAGGCGGGGGCAAAAACAAGCAAAAAACAGCCAATTTTGTTGGTGAAAATGGGCCCGTTTTTCATTAAAAAAGGACATGCATATCATTTAGACGACTTCTAGAGTGCTCCTGAGGGCTGGGGGGGGAAGTGTCAAGAAACGGACTGTTTTTTGCTCATTTTTTGCCTTCCCCAGCCCCCAGGAGCACTCTAGAAGCCTCCTAAAGGCTATGCACGGCCATTTTGGTGAAGGGACGGGGTTTCAGGAGGCCAAAAATGCTGTATTCAGTGTGTAATTTGCACCCAGATTTTCAGCCTCTTTTTTGAGGGAAAAGGGTGTGTGTTATACTCCGAAAAATACAGTATCTGCAAAGTTTTGCAAATAGCAATATCCCTTAGACTTATATACCGCTTCATAGTGCTTTACAGCCCTCTCTAAACAGTTTACATAGTCAGCATATTGCCCCCAACAATCTGGGTCCTCATTTTACCCACCTCAGAAGGATAGACAGCTGAGTTAACCTTGAGCCCGTCAGGATCAAACTCCTGGCCATGGGCAGAGTTAGCCTGCAATAATGTATTCTAATCACTGCACCACAGCTCTTTTTACCAAAGAAATTTCAGATATTTGGAACAAATGGACCACATTTAGGACATACGTGATTGGCGGGGGGAGGGGGTTTGCAGGGTGGCAGTCAATATTTTAAATGCCAGGAAGTTAAATCATGTACATATACTCGTTGTTTATATAGTTCTTGACAAAACTGGTTTTTTTTTTTACTCTCAAATTTATTTTGAGGTCAAATACTGCAGAAAAGCAAGTTTTAGGTTAGGTTATTGGTACAAAACACTCAATCGTGTAATTTCACTGATAAGTGAATACTAAATATGTAGTTAAAATATTGATATTTTAGAAAATGTAATCCACTGTAGGAAAAAACAGTCGAATAGTCTTTACTTCACAGACTAATATCAAAAAGCTGCTCGTTTCCCTGACAGCAAATTACGTTTTTATCTCAATGACATTTTTTTAAATTGTAAATTCAAACAAATCGAGGAACTCCTCCCATATAACAATAAATCAGATCGGGGTTTTTTGCTCCATTTTTAATGCTGATTTTAAAAACATGGCATGGGGGTGACCTTATAACATATTCAGGAAGATGATAAACAGATACTCTTAGGGCACACAGAAGCAACTTCCTCAAGAATGAAAATGACACTTACTGGTCAAGATTTGAACAATGACAAGACAGAAGCTAATACATACACATCAGGGATTATTTGCATCATAGAGCAACAGTAAAAAAAAAGTCTACAAATAATTAAGCATTAATATATTGGAAGAGTTTAGCTGCTTTGATTTAATCACTGAAAAATAGAACAAATCTTTCACTGAAAATATTCTGAACATTCCAGTTTCAAAAAGGTTATCTGCAACATTTATCAGCATATCTGAGTATATGAAGATTACTCTCATACCTGGGAACTGCCACTAAATCCAGAAGGTTGGCTATATTCTGTAGAATCAATAATGCTACTGTAAAAAAAAAACAATATGCATGAACAATAGTTAATAACAATAAAAAATTTCTGAGTTTTAATTTATCTAATAATACGACTAAGAAAAAGTTTTATTGGAAGTTCTAAGGAGGAAAATTTCCTAGTGAGCCACAGTGGCACAGTGCAGCACCGCAAGCTACTTCTGCTGACTGTCGGCTGCCTGCAATTTGGCAGTTCAAATCTCACCAGGCTCAATTTGACTCAGCCTTCCACCCTTCCGAGGTGGGTAAAATGAGGACCCAAATTGTTGGGGGCAACATGCTGTCTCTGTAAACCACTTAAGAAAGGTCTGGAAAGCACTATGAAAACACTATATAAGTCTAAGTGCTATTGCTAGTCTTTTTGAAGATGAGATTGGAATAATAGGTAGTCCTCAACTTACAACCATAATTGAGTGCAAAATTTCTGTTGCTAAGCAAGGCAGTTGTTAGATGAGTTTTGTCCCATTGTGCAAATCTTTTTGCCACCATTGTCAAAAAAATCACTGCAGCTGTTAAGTGAATCATGTGGTCGTTAAAATGAATCTGGCTTCCCCATTAACTCTGCTTATCAGAAGCTGGGTGGGAAGTTACAAACGCTGATCACATGACTCCGGGACAATGCAACTGTCGTAAATACATGATAGTTGTCAAGCATGCCTATTTCAATCATGTGACCATGGGGATGCTGCAATGTGAAAAACCCGTCATGTCACTTTTTCCAATGCCGCTGTATCTTCGAACAGTAACAAAATGAATGGTTGTAAATCGAGGAGTACCTGTATAGAAATTTAAGTTGCTATTAAATATGGTTGTGAGCAATACAACCACCTGTAATTTTGTAGAGGCAGAATTTGGCTGCTGAAGTGAATGGAGTCTTTTTGCTAGTGGAGGCTCTGTTCCAGAGGTGGGTTCCTACCAGTTCGCACCTATTCGGTAGAACCGGTTTGTCAAATCTACCAAACCGGTTAGAAGAGG